CGTTAGTAGATGTTTAATGTCACAGAGATACGTAATGGCAGCATTAAGGTGCGATGATTTCACTAATGAGGGGAGCTGTGAGGGACGGGTTAGACCTTTGTGGGCACTACAACCACAGCGAGCTCAGAGCAAGGTGTTAAAAGGAGAAAGAGAGAGAAGTTCAAATGAAAATTATTCAAGAGCATTATGGTGATCATGCAAATGATGATTAGACCACCACCTCTTCCAGAAAAGTGAGTGCACTCATAAAAGGTGTTAGCTAGACGACAGATGGGAAGCCAGGCAGATGGGAAGCCATAGCAGGAGTAAGTTGACTGTTTAACACAAAGAGTTGCTCCCCTCATCTATGGCGATTCAACTGACACATTTTAGTTGAAGGTGTCCTCAACAACCATTTCGCTCGTCGGGAGTGCGGATCTGCCAGAGGACGAGGTTGTCCTCACCGCTGCCTGTCCACACGTATCCAAACTGCTTCTTGAAATCACGAATCTAACAAATCGCGCCCATTGCGTAGCCTCTGCAGCTCCCGGCTGAGTGCTTGCGGGCTCCGCCATGCACGGAGATTCATATTCTTGGGTCTTTCGGTAAAGTCACGTAGATAGGTTAAAAGAAAACAACAAAAAAATACAAAAAAACTACGACGTTTCAATCACAACACAAGCGTTCGTCATCAGGAAGAAAAAAGAGGGGGACAGCTGTTGAGGCAAATTTTTTAAAGGTTTAAAATGGGTGTTGCCCAAGGGTCATAAACTAAGTGGGTGGAGCTAGTAATGTTAATGTGAGAAATTAGCATGTAAAATTGGAGGGCGACCTCCACAACGAGGGCACGGAAGTGGCTATGTTAATGTGAGAGATTAGCATGGGCTACACCCATTTTAAACCGTTAAAACAGTCTGCCTCAGCAGCTGTCCCCCTCTTTTTTCTTCCTGATAATGAACGCTTATGTTGCAATCGAAACGTAGTAGTTTTTTGTTATTTTTTGTTACTTTCTTTGAACCAATCCACGTGACTTTACCGAAAGACCCAAGAATATGAATTCCTGCAGTTATAAAAGCTTTAAGTCAAGAGGTAACGGAGATATTTTAATATTTTTGGGAAAAATTGGGAATCAGGCCCCTCAAATTTCTATACGAGGAATTTTGTAAATAAATTATCTCCTACGAGTCCTGGAGCATGTTCTCAAGAGAGGAAATTACAGAAATCTTCCAACCAATATGTTGACCCACTTGGCCAGTCTTCTCCAAAGGCCTAATGCTTTTAAGTTGAATGGACAATTGTACCAACAGATCAATTGAATCGTCATGGAAACAAAAATTGGTCCAATTTTCATCAACCTCTGTGTCTGTTGGGTGTAAAAACAATAAAAAAATACAATTATGTTTTAAGTATACAGTCCACAAGCTTGCAATGTACTGATTGGCTGCTGCACTAGAGTCACGTTTCTCATGCAGGAGGACCTCCAAATCTTCATTGTTGGAATCACCGTCACCCATTATTAGTGTTCCCAGTACACACCTCAGACACTTGCATTGCTTTTAGAATATAAAACTGTCCATCGTAGAGATCCAACGAAACAAAAAGGTTCATTACAAACCAGGAGAGTCAAAACAGCTGCATTATACATATCTAAAACATATGTAAAATGTATGTTGTAACAGTGATGAAGATTATAATGGTGATGATGTTGGTGATGGAGATGATGGATAATGAAGGATATCATAATGGTGATGATGGGTAAGATGATGTTTTTTTTATTAATAGGATGGTTAACTGAGTATGAAGATAATGATGATGTGTTAGTTATAGACATGATGGATAACGGTGGAAGTGATGGAAGTGGCGATGGTGGAATGGGTGAAGATTATGTGGGTCATGGAGATGACATTTGATAATTATAATCTTGATGGCTAAGATGGCTTACAATAGAAAATAAATATGGTGTGATGATAGCAGTTGGGTACATGGCAGCATAGAGGGACATGGAGAGATAGGGAAATAGAAACACGAAGTAGCACGAAGAAATGGGAAGAAAGAGATAAGGATTCACACAGAGAGAATGAGAGAAACAGGAAGGAATGGAGAGAGACAAATCGATGAAGAGACACTGAGAGTGATGGAAAGATTAATGGAGAAATATATGGAGTATTAACACCACGGGTATCCCTACGCACTGCCTATCCCCGCCCGCTATTATTTTATTATTACTTTTGTCAATCATCCAAAAGCGGCCGTTTGGCAAGCTTCGTTCGACAGGCGAGCTCCGCTTTCTACAGCAATGGCGAAGGGTGTGGGGTTGTGTGCCCTCCCAGCACCCCCCCCCCCCAGTCCCCGAGGGCCGCGGCCTGCCCTGCTCTCTGGACCAAAAGCTGTCCACACCGCTTCTTGTTCAAGTGCAGACACACGACACGATGTGCCCATGCTTAATTTCTACACACAGTACTCCTAAATGTCTTCAGAATGTTTGCATACTTATTTACTTCCTCCTCTTCTGCGTATTTCCCATGTGTATACAACTGATGTCTCAAATGAAAGTCTTAATGATATTGGTTAACATAATTCCACACCTACCCGACGTAACCGCTGTAATGAGGCTAGGCATGGTGACACGTGCCTGTAATCCAGCGCTGTAAATGGGTTGCTGGGTTGCCAGGAGATGGAAGTACAGAAAGTAGTCTGGTGATTAAAAATTATGTAACCTTCTGTGGCCGTCTGTAATGCTCTTCCTATTAGGAAGCCACTGAAGCGATGCACTTTTAGATTTGGGTGGTTGGCGACATACGGTGTGAAAGAAGTTCAACATACATACATCCCTCAATTAAGCAATATCATTAAACCTATTTATATTTTGACCAAAATTCAAGGAGAAAGGTTCCTCTCCGGACTGAGCGACTCCCTTGACTAACGCAATTTAATTCCACACCTTCCCCTGGGTTTCTCTACGCCAAGTGGTGTGTACACGATTCACGATCAAAATATTGGTCCTCCAGGTCGTGTTGAGGGGTCGCCTCAGCCACATCATCCCTATAGGGTGAACTAAAAACGAATACCGCTGAGAGGGTAATCAACAGAGGTTGTAATTTGCAGAAACCATGCCCAGCATTTACGCTGTCACTGGCTCAGGGCAGCCAAAGCAGATGAGCACCAGCACCTGCTTTTTGATCTTGCTGACATTTGGACTTTGATGGTTGTATTATTAACTTAGTCCAATAATGAAGCACCAAGAGATAGCTTTATCCCCCTGCATGCAGATGAAAAGTGAGCATTCTTACATGTCAGCCAATAGCACATCATCACAGGGACTTTTGTGAGCACAATGTATGCCTTGCCAGAAAACCACTTCGCTTCTCAGAGTGTTTACAGTGTATAATTAACAAAGGCAAACATTAAAGACAACTACAAATACATATCCATAATGCTGCTTTTAAATGTACATTTTTGGCAATAGTTTCCTTCATTAAATAAAAAAAAACCTAAAAAAACATCTTCTTAAATATACGGTGTGCGTGTGCAAACCCTATTAGCGATATTGATGTAGAATTTTTAATTGAGAAGTTTTTGTACAATTGTGCAATATATTTATCTGGGTGATGAAAAGTTCAATCGGTGCAAGCTTCAGTGTGTTTCGTGCTCGGCCTACTTACAACACAGCACCTCCGGCGACATTTATGTTTGACCCAGTGAGCTTTATACGAGGGGCTACCATGTTCGTATTTTGAACCTGCTAACCAGTTTTGTACTACATACCTCACGGTTATAGATTACAACAAAAACCACATAGAACATAACAACACTGTACAGTACTTTACTTGTAATATAGCTCTGCTTGTCTGTACCTAACACTGCGATAAATACACGACATTCTCTCAACACACCTATCATACATAGACAATACAATTTTGGATTTGCAAATTATATGAATGCAACGGCATCTCATGACGTGGTAAAATAACAAGCATTCATCATGGCGTTGTCAATACAGTAATGTGGCTTAAAGTAAACTAAACCATTTTTTTATTTTACTAGGTAGGGTCCACTGAGCTAAATAGCTCTTTTTCAGAAGCGACCTGGCCACAAGTAATAGCTCAACGAAGTGGCTTATCACATGGAAAATCATTGCAGCCGAAAACTCTAAATGCATGTTTCTAAATGTGGGGGGGGGGGGACCGTAGGACCCAGAGAAAAATCCACATGACGATGGGGAGAGAGATATGCAAACTCAAAATATACAGGAGTCAAGGTAGGGATCGAACCCATGAGCTCCTGTATACCAGGCGAGGTCATTAACATCTCGCCACCTTGGCTTAGTGGAGGGGGCACCTGAAAAGTGGTTCTGAAAAGAACGACTGGAATAGAAGCACACTACATGATAATTATGTTAATTATGAATCCCGTCATCTATTTGCTAACGACCAATTATAAGACACTGCCATGTAGTCAAACCTTGTGCCTCAAGACATGGCAAGTTCCCACGATGCATTTAGTACACAACGCTGTGAGAAAGTGAGGGGGGGGGACACTTCCATGTTGTGCATTTTATAATTGCTGTTCTCGAAAAATGTTATTACAGTAATTGGAAACTATAATTTGCGGAATTTAAATTAAATGCAATTAAAATGAAACTGTTAGTTCATAATACTCTAAAATATCTCATGTTATACAATGGATACAACGACAGTGCATAGCTATTTCAAATTCACCATGGTCTCACAGTGCCTATAAGAAAAGACCCAATTATAACTTATTGGCATACTCTGCTGAAAACAACTAGAATGCTCAAGTGGGAGACGTGGAAACCTTAATGTTTAAAAACGCACATGTATTTCAGGAAGCAGTGGCTCATTGTTGGGCCAAAGCTGTGGACACACTCCAAATACAATTTATAAATCGTGGAAAACATGACAAAATCCATTTAATATCAGAGATAACAATTATTTTCAATGTCATGATTCACTATTTAGTGACAGTGGCTTTGTTGCGATTAGCTCGACCATCACTCGTACCTGTTGCAGTGGCCACATCGGTGAACGTTCCGTCTCCATTGTTCTTGAACAGGAAGTTGGGACCGTGCTCGTTGTCACAGAAGATGTCCGAGATGTTGGTGTTTATGATTGGACCAACAGTCACGCCACGGCCACCTGTCAGCAAAATAGAATTTTGTTTAAAAATAATGTTTCACGAAATATTCTCTATCCACTGCTGAATGAAGGCCCCCAAGGTTGTTGGTGCTTTTGCTTCCATTGTTGCATCGGTGCAATCCAATAATACTGTTCATACCCTGGCAAAATGCAATCAAATCTCAATAACATTAATTCAGTTTAATTCAACTCAGGACTGTTGAATATTTCAGACAGAGATTTATTTTACTACTACTACACAATAAGCTGAGCCTGCTGCATATTACACGTGCAGGGTACATTGGATTACGAGTGCACAGCAGGGTTCCCTGTCACCCACACCGCCGGTGCCTTCAGGAAAAGAATGCATCAGGACATGAGACCTTCAATGGCGAGTGCCGTTTTTTAATGTTTCACGTTTCTATTTTGAGCCACGAGGGTCACACTTACTCCCAAGAGGAATGTCCACCTCACCCCTGTGATAAATGCGTAAAACTTCTACTGTCTTGACTTAAAGCTTTCGTGACTGCAGGAATTCATATTCTTTGGGTCTTTCGGTAAAGTCACGTAGATAGGTTAAAAAAATACAAAAAATAATAATTCAATGAAAATAACAGAAAACATATATTTTTAATTTTCTTTGAACCTATCAAAATATTTTTTTTTGTTATTTTCTTTGAACCTATTTAAATGACTTTATCGAAAGAAACAAAGAATACTTGTACTGCCATTCTTAAAATGAAACCTATAAGTTGACGCCTAAAAAAGTGGAACGAATGCTTTCATTTACAAATGTCGGTACTGTCCACCCAGAGCCGTGACACAGGAGAGCATTGAGTCTAGGGTGCCACAGTGGTGAGATATGAACTACTTCGCCTGGTATACAAGGAGGTGGTGGGTTCGATCACAATTCTCATGCCTGTATATTTGGAGTTTGCATGTTTTCCCCATGGTCGCGTGGATTTTTCTCTGGGTCCTCCAGTTTTTCCCTTCACATTTAGAGACAAGCGTTTAGACTATTTGACCGCTGTAAATTTCCACATGATAAGTCACTTCGAGAACTATCATTCGTGGCCAAGTCCCTTCTGAAAAAAAGCTATATATATATAAAACTCAGTGGGCCTCACCTGATTAAAAAAACATGTTTATAGTTTAAATGGTTTAGCTTGATTCCGGGCTGATTATCCACAAATATCCAACAATGAATACGAATGAACTGCATGCCTAGTGTGGACCACCAGGCATGTAGTGATGTATAAATTAATCAATTTAAATGGATTTCTAAATTGAAGGTACGCACATCGAATGGATGAAGGAAATTGTTATTCGGACTCGGTTATAATATTATTATTATGATTATTGCATGTTTACCCACAAAGACCCCCATTAGTGTCAAGATTCTGTTTCAGGACAGTACTGCTAAGTTTTCACGGTATGGAGTGATTATGTTATGTGCCATCTAAATTGGATAATTTGCTGGGAATATTTCATTATTTGGGTGTTTTTGGCCAATACCAGTTGCGTTGTTTGTTTTTCGCGACTGTTGAACTCCAGTGAAGAATATACAGTACTGCAATATATAATTGTATATACTTAATCAATAGATGTAAATATCTGATGCGAGTCTCGACCAGGGCTTTCCAGCCTGTGGTCTACATACCCCCGAGGGGGATTGTGTGCCATCTCTTGAGGGCAGGCGAGACACATTTTTTTTTGTACCAACGGTGGTCACGGGAGTCACTCAGCAATGCTGCCCTGCGTGTGCGCACTAGAAGAACATTCTAAAAGCTGCACACCTATCTGTGGATGACATTTGGTGAACTTGTGCCCTTGGGACTCATCCACATGCTCCATTATAGTATGTTCACATCTTGTTTATCACACCGATTTTACTTTTGCTTGACTAATGAGCAACAAAAACTAAGTGTTAAGCAGCTGTCTTAGGTGTTAATTAAGTGTATATGTGATTAAGAAGCACTGTAGTAATTTTACAAAGAATTAAATTAATAAAATCTATATGCTGGTAGCTGTACGTGGACAGTTGATACGTCTGGTAGAGGGTACACGACAGGCAATAAATAGGCCAGGAGTCACTGGTCTAGATGAATGACTTAATAATTTTAGTAGTTTAAAAAAATAAAGTGTGTAATCATTTGTGTGATGTTACTTGCACGGTTTGCATTGTAAAACTTGAACCCTACATTATAATTCAAGAACCAGCTACCATAAGCGCATATTTCATCTGCCGCGTGTCAGACACACGAACTCAAATGCACTGCATCTTCATAAATGGTCCAGTGTTACGATGTCACACTATATAAAAACACTTGCCGTTTTTGTCTGTTTGCAAACTTTACATTGTAGTAGGTAAACATATAATACAATGGGCGATTCTTTCATTCCTCACGTTTGGTCTCTCACTCATTTAACAAAAGAAAGTAATAATATCCATCATCGTGCAACCCAAAACACAATTGAGTTTTCATTAAATTTGAAAACAAAACCGCCACCGAGCTACGGAAAAATCGGCAGTCAATATCTAGTCCTGTGAATGAAAACATATCTCGGAAACACCACGTCACCATCTCCATACAAATCAACAAGCACACCCACCACAGTGTTCACGTTGCCCCGGCGTGCAAGAGCTCCATTTGCTCAACACATCCAATTCCCGCACGTATTGTGACAGCCTTTTACATTGTGATGAGGGAGGGATTCTGGTGAGGATGTGGGTTATTGTTGAGGTTGTGAGTAGCTGTCAAGGCCATGGGTTAGTGTCAAGGCTGTGGGTTATTGTCGAGGCTGTGAGTCATTGTCAAGGCCGTGTGTTATTGTGAAGGCTGTGAGTTATGGTAAAAGCTGTGTGTTATTGTCAAGGCTGTGAGTTATTGTCAAGGCTGTGAGTTATTGTAAAGGCTGTGAGTTATTGTAAAGGCTGTGAGTTATTGTCAAGGCTGTGAGTTATTGTCAGGATGTGTGTTATTGTGAAGGCTGTGAGTTATTGTAAGCCTGTGAGTTATGGTAAAGACTGTGAGTTATAGTCAAGGCTGTGAGTTATTGTTAGGCTTTGGGTTATTATAAGACTTTGGGTTATTGTCAAGACGGTGAGTTCGTGTTGACTCTGCATGGATGTCTAATTTTGCAGTCAGTTGTGAGGTCCAGTAACAGTGTGTTGATGTTAATGAGTTGGGGACAGTGTGATGTCCCCAGTCTCTGTTCAGAATCCTCAGGTACACACACTCACGAGTAAAACATGCTACACAAAGAGACAGGCGGCTCTAAGTAGGTAACGCTGGATAGCTGCGACAAATGTGACCAAACGGAGATGAGTTGGTGTACCTGTGAACTTGTTGACTCCGGCCTCCTTGGCCACTTCAGAAAGGATGACAATCCCTCGAGCGACGTCGCTGGCCGCCTCGTCCATCTCGATGACAGCGTGGGGGCCCACGCCGTCCTTCGCGTAGTTTGCCACGTAAACCGAATAGCGGCCTGTTCCCTGGCAGAGGCACGCGACGCGGTTCGGTGAGTACGTACGTATGTTGAACTTCTTTCGTACAGTACGCAGCCAACCGTGCTAATCGAAATTTTCACTCTCCCAATACAGTATACACATGTTTTTTTTCATTGTTACTTTTTCATTAATAATATTATTCCACTTGTTTACCCAGGAAAGTATCCCTGAGTTTCAAGAGGGAGGGTCCTAATAAGCTTTTGCAGTAGGGGTCAATGATTGCTATGTTTCCCAATTAAGGCGTTTGAGGGGTAATTTTCCAAATTTGGCAAAGGTTGGAGATGAAAGATGGAATCCCTCGTATGGCCCTCTCTCCTGGTGAGTATTGTTTTTTAACAAGATATCGTTAATATGCTACTCGAATGAAAACATCAATTCAGTTCCATTTCCATTTATTTGGTATAACCCAGTGAGCCATTCAGCTCTTGAATCTGGTGCAACCGCAACAAACAAAAAACAAGAACAAGAAAACATCTTAAAGTGAGTATGTGACTGTGCAAACAGAAAATCCAGGCAAAAACATCAAAATATTCATGAAAAAGCACCGTGCACCAACGCTGTTTGCAAAAATCCCAGTGGGATGCAAGTCAAACAACAACAACAACCACAAGACAACTTAGATTAAGGCCAATTTTAGATTTATGCCAATTGGACTTATAAAGCATCTAAATGCGACCACACCTCAAGATGTTGTAAAAACACTGGGACTCGCATCACGAAGAGCAACGAGAGATGTATGAGGGGCAAAAGAAAAAATACGACTATTACCACTGAGTTATATAGCTCTTTTCAGAGGCGACCTGGCCATCACAAATTATAGCTCAATTAAGTCGCTTATCATTATGTGGAAATGTATAGCAGCCAAATCCTCTAAATGCACATTTCTAAATGTGCAGAAAAAAAACGGAGGACCTGGATAAAAAAATCGACACAACCACTCCAAACATACAGGCGTCGGGGTCGGGATCGAACCCACTACCTCCTACATACCAGGCTAGGGAGTTAATATTTCGCCACCGCTGCACCCATGTTATTTATCCGATTAAGGAGGAGTGGAGCTCGGCTTAGCATTGACAACACTAACAAACAGACAGCTAAATCTTGACTTAAAGCTTTCGTGACTGCAGGAATTCATATTCTTTGGGTCTTTCGGTAAAGTCACGTAGATAGGTTCAAAGAAAATAACAAAAAACTACGACATTTTGATCGCAACACATCAGGAATGACCGCTTGTTTTTGCGATTGAAACATATTTTTTTTACATAATTGGTTCTTTCGATGAAGTCAAGTAAAAGGGAAACAATTAAATACAAAATATATAAAACAATAAAATGCTCACGACGTTTCGACTGTAACACAAGCAATCATCATCAGGTGTGAAAACCACAGCAAGAAAATTTGAAAAAAGCGGCGTTTTTTTTAACGTTAGCACCACGGAGAGCGATTTGGCAGTTATTCAAATGGACGAGTCCATCTATGTTCGGAAAAGAGGAGGGGGGAGACGAAAATAATGGATGCGGTCTGAAAGCCACCGTAAGTGTGAACAATCAATTAAGACCCGAAATGGTTTATCAAATCCTTCCAATGATTGCTAAGCCAGAATCCATCTTCTTGGTTAAAATTGTCTCTGTGTTTGTATATGTGCTTAGCCTCATGAACGAATCTCTCATGGTAGCCAAATGGCTTGCAAAGAACCTCTGCCTTGGAGAAGTCAATGTCATGTGAGCCTACTGAATTATAACAGTGATCTGCCACGGCCGAGTTGTTGGTGCTACCGTGTTTTAGATCTGCTTTGTGTTCACGAATGTGGTCCGAGACATGTCGGTTGGTTTCTCCAATGTAACTACTACCACAGAGACAACTTAGTTTGTAGACGCCAGGATACTGTATATCCAGAATCACATCTTTTACAGACAGAACCAGATCACGGATTTTATGTAATGTGTTGAATCGGACCTGGATCTTGTGTTTATTCAAGATTTTGGAGATCTTTTTGTGATCCCCGCAATGTAGGGTAAAGTGATGGTTTTGAAAGGATCCTCAATAGGGTCCTTCTTCATGGTTGGATGATAGCTTTCCGGATTGTGTAGTCGGAGTAACCATTAGCCTTAAGGGCTTAGTGTACGTGTTTGAGTTCACTGGCTATGTGTTCCTGGTCGGATTTGCATTGGGCTCTATGGTGCAGAGTCTTGATGAGGGAATTCTTCTGGGATGGATGGTGGTGGGAATCCGGTTTCAGGTAAGCATCCGTATGGGTAGCTTCCTGTAGACAGAGTGGCTCATTGAACCATCAGGTCTCTTTTTTATTAGGACATCCAAAAAAGGTAGCTTGCCATCTTTTTCGACTTCCATGGTAAATCTGATGGCTGGGTGTATGGAATTGATGTAGTCGAGGAATTGGTCTAGAGCAGGTCGGCCATGTGGCCAGATGACAAAAGTGTCATCCACGTACCTCTTCCATAAGGTTGGGCGCAGAGTGGCAGTCTGGATGGCGTCAGTCTCAAATTTCTCCATGAAAATGTTGGCCACAACCGGAGATAGGGGGGAGCCCATTGGGGTGCCCTCAGTTTGTTTGTAAAAAGTTCCATTCCAAGTGAAGTATGTATTGGTTAAGCAGTGTCTCACCAAGGGGGGTACCTCAGTATTTAGTCCTTGATGAACCAAGTTTTCAATGAAACCGCCACTTTTTTCCAATTTTCTTGCTGTGGTTTTTACACCTGATGATAACTGCTTGTGTTGCAGTCGAAACGTCGTGAGAATTTCATTGTTTTATATTTTATTGTTTCCCTTCTACGTGACTTTACCAAAATAACCAAGAATATGAATCCCTGCAGTCAGGAAAGCTTTCAATCAAAATCATATGTTTTGTTATTTTCTTTGAACCTATCTACGTGACTTTACCAAAAGACCCAAAGAAAACAGAAAACTTTCCCAAAAACTGGAAAAAAGGTATCAAAAGAATCATAACATTACCCAAGAATACTGAAACTCAGCTGTCTACTTTGCACCCAGACAATTCAAAAGCAAAAGTCAAACTCAGTATAACCTTCTGCTCTCAGTTAGAAAAGACAAAAACCATGTTACCTTGGTGTCACTCTTGATCAAACCTCACGTTCATGGAATAACTAAAACAGTGAGCAAATAAACTAAATCCCACATCGATGTGATACAAATATTAGCTTGAACTTCCTGGGGATATCATACCAAACCCTTTAAACTGTACCACTGGCCTGTGTTTACTATATATCCCGGAACACGTTATTGACATCACGTCATCAGTGCTGCCAATTCCCGTTGGAGGAACGTCGCCAAACAAACGTCAAACCCCCCCAACCAGATGTCACAAGGTAGACCTTTTAAAGACGTGAATATCGTCACGAGACAATTTTCGAGTATTAAACAAAGTAAACTGACACAGGATCCTTAATAGATACCCTGGAATTGCCCCAATGTCTACATCTTGTATTCGTCCCCAAACAACATTTTGTCCCCAGGAAAACCGAGAAAGTTGCGAGATATAGCGACAGAATCGCCAAGTTGGCAACACTGCACAGGACCACTGTGGTAATACAATATTTTCAACTGCCAAAAACCAGCTGGCTGTCGTAGCTTAACAAATACAGGATGAAAAACTTCAAATTTAAACTAAACATAGGCTAACGTAGCTTATGGTTATGTAAGGGTCATGTGGGGACACCTTGGGGTAATGCAAGGGCCACGTAAGGACACCTCGGGTAAAATCATTCATGATCGAGAGCACGCGCACGGCACGGGGAATGCGTTGGGGATTGGCAGAGGATTCCGAAAAGAGGGAATTGGCAGGAGAGGGAAAGGAGGGAGAGAAGAGAGTTGGAGGCAGGCGACGTTTAGTTTAGGGTATTTTGCTTTGTGACACAGATGGTCCCATTTAGCCAGTTTACCCGGCTATTTTACGCGGGAGGTCCGTGGTGCTGCATGAGCACAGCAGCAGCAACAAAAACAACAAAGACAAAAACATCAATGTTGCAGAGAAAGAGTACAGCAGGGTCCTTATGGAACATTGCACAACTAACAAACGAGGTATTTGAACAGTCGTAAACAAAACACATGCAAATCAAAACAGTGCAGATATAATATGAGAGCAAGAGGTGCCGGAAAAAGTTAGGTACAGGTAAAAGTAAGCTCTATTCAGTATTTTAATTTAAACAGTGACATAAAACACATGCAAGTCGAAAAAGACAGTGTAAACATGTGGGAGCAAGAGACGCCAGAAAAATGTTCTGTACAGGTTAAAGTAAACTCTGTGATTTGGTTTGACTAAGGAAATAAATAGGGGGAGTGAAGGGAGGGAATCAGGCTGTGGATGAGCGACAAGGGGTATTTTCCAGCAACATAGATCAGGGCTGTGAGAAGAGAACAAGGGACAGAATTTGTGAGATAGAGGATAGTGAAGAGCTTTAAGTAACCTTCCGGGAGGTTCCAGAAAGTTTGAGGCTATATAAAAGGGGTTGTGACAAATGCGGGACTTTTTGAGGAGGGACTGTAGGGTAATCTCCCACGAGTGGTATCCCGTGAGATGGAACAACAAAGTTCCCTTACCAAAGAAATATTTAAATGAAACATTTTTTTTATTTTACCAGGTAAGGCCCACTGAGCTATATAGCTCTTTTTCAAAAGCGACCTGACCACAAATGATAGAGCAATGAAGTGGCCTATCGTGTGGAAATTGATAGCAGCCAAATACCCTAAATGCGTGTTAATTATAAATGTGGAGGTAAAAACCGGAGGACCCACCCGGAGAAAAATCCACACGACCATGGAGAGAACATGTAAACTCAAAATATACAGGCGTCAGAATCGGGATCGAATCCACAACCTCCTGTATATCAGGCGAGGTAGTTAACATCTCGCCACCGCGGCACCCACTTGCAACTGTGGTGCCCAAAGTATCATCACTACTTAGCCATTCATAAGGTCGTGCTCATTACACACAAAGTGTTTGCCACAAATGAACCACAATACCTTGCTGATATCGTCAAGGAGCATAAACCATCATGTGCACTCCGGTCATCCTAGCAGCCGCGGTTTTTGGCTAACCATCGAACAAAGAAGATCACTGCATTGTGCGCTTTCAGAAGCACTTCTGCGGTCGTCTGGAACGCTCTTCCTTTTGATATCAGGAACCCACTGGAACTATGCACTTCTAAATCCAGATTGAAAAATAATTTATTTAGAACTGCTTATTGTGTTTAGTTTGTTGTCCTTCCCAGGCACCTCCGATTAGCACGGTTGGCTACATATGATGTGAAAGAAGCTTAACATACATAGCCTAGCTCCCTGCCGCCATTGAAAAGTGTGCAGACCAAGGGCTGCGAGTAGCATGTTGGTAGGGACACAAAGCAGCCTTGCTTGGCTCTGAGTACTGCATAGCTCTGGCTCACTCGAAACCATTAGTGAACATGTCAGATAAGGTACTGGGAGCACGGGGCTGTTGGCTCTAAATTAAGAACACTTAAGAACAACACTTAAACAAACACGCAAACGGGCGGTCAAATTTTATGCAATGCCACATTGTTTTTTGTTCAAACAACAGAAACATCTTGTAACAAAAACGATTGCAAAAAAATATGCACGCAGACATAATGTGTATTATTAAAGATATATACAGTATGTTCTCCTATAACGTAGGTAGTTGCGTTCCTGAAGAACACCGGATTATGGAAAAATCGCGTTATAGTAAATAATGTAATATAGGGTAAAGCACAGTCCGCAATAACACGTGAGATGCGTATGCAGGCCGAACAAAGACTGAGGGGTAGCAACTAGAAGCATCCAACCTTGTGTGATGCTACAGTGAGGAAAAAAGTATTTGATCCCTTGCTGATTTTGTACGTTTGCCCACTGACAAAGAAATGATCAGTCTATAATTTTAATGGTAGGTTTATTTGAACAGTGAGAGACATAATAACAACAAGAAAATCCGGAAAAACGCATGTCAAAAATGTTATAAATTGAATTGCATTTTAATGAGAGAAATAAGTATTTGACCCCTCTGCAAAACATGACTTAGTACTCGGTGGCAATACCCTTGTTGGCAATCACAGAGGTCAGACGTTTCTTGTAGTTAGCCACCAGGTTTGCACACATCTCAGGAGAGATTTTGTCCCACTCCTCTTTACAGATCTTCTCCAAGTCATTAAGGTTTCGAGGCTGGCGTTTGGCAACTCGAACCTTCAGCTCCTTCCACAGATTTCTATGGGATTAAGGTCTGAAGACTGGCTAGGCCACTCCAGGACCTTAATGTGCTTCTTCTTGAGCCACTCCTTTGTTGCCTTGACCGTGTGTTTTGGGTCATTGTCATGCTGGAATACCCATCCACGACCCATTTTCAATGCCCTAGCTGACGGAAGGAGGTTCTCACCCAAGATTTGATGGTACATGGCCCCGTCCATCATCCCTTTGATGCGGTGAAGTTGTCCTGTCCCCTTAGTAGAAAAACACCCCTAAAGCATAATGTTTCCACCTCCATGTTTGACGGTGGGGATGGTGTTCTTGGGGTCATAGGCAGCATTCCTCCTCCTCCAAAGACGGCGAGTTGAGTTGATGCCAAAGAGCTCCATTTTGGTCTCATCTGACCACAACACTTTCACCCAGTTGTCCTCTGAATCATTCAGATGTTCATTGGCAAACTTCAGACAGGCATGTATATGTGCTTTCTTGAGTAGGGGGACCTTGCGGGCGCTGCAGGATTTCAGTCCTTCACGGCGTAGTGTGTTACCAATTGTTTTCTTGGTGACTATGGTCCCAGCTGCCTTGAGATCATTGAAAAGATCCTCCCGTCTAGTTCTGGGCTGATTCCTAACCGTTTTCATGATCATTGCAACTCCACGAGGTGAGATCTTGCATGGAGCCCCAGGCCGAGGGAGATTGATAGTTATTTTGTGTTTGTTCCATTTGTGAATAATCGCACCAACTGTTGTCACCTTCTCACCAAGCTGCTTGGCAATGGTCTTGTAGCCCATTCCAGCCTTGTGTAGGTCTACAATCTTGTCCCTGACATCCTTGGAGAGCTCTTTGGTCTTGGCCATGGTGGAGAGTTTGGAATCTGATTGATTGATTGCTTCTGTGGACAGGTGTCTTTTATACAGGTAACACGCTGAGATTAGGAGCACTCCCTTTAAGAGTGTGCTACTAATCTCAGCTCGTTACCTGTATAAAAGACACCTGGGAGCCAGAAATCTTTCTGATTGAGAGGGGGTCAAATACTTATTTCACTCATTAAAATGCAAACAATTTATTACATTTTTGACATGCGTTTTTCTGGATTTTTTTGTTGTTATTCTGTCTCTCACTGTTCAAATAAACCTACCATTAAAATTATAGACTGATCATTTCTTTGTCAGTGGGCAAACGTACAAAATCAGCAGGGGATCAAATACTTTTTTCCCTCACTTTTTCGCTGAGGCAGTCTTACAACTGCTTATTCCTACCTGTGCGACGTAGTTCTGTTGACTCATTTGCATTGTATCCAATTCAAGTCACGAAACCAAGACCCGTTATATGAGGATCGACTGTATATATATACACTATATATACACTTGTTATGTTGTTACAGTGTATTCATCGATGCTTGGAAACGCGTGCAATACCTTCCTGTCGATGCAGGCAACTGAGCGGCCAGCAAAGCGGGAGGCGACGCCACGCTGCACATTCACCGGGTCGCTAAGGATGTCCTCCCAGCGCCCATTACGGAACTTGAACAGCTTATCCGAGTAAGTAGCCATTCCTGCCGGGCACAGATCAGGGGATAATATATATGTAACATCGGTGATGCGTACATTGTTCCACACAAAAACAGCACTGTGGGCGAGATACGCGTATGGCCCTTACAGGCGAATAATAATAATTACATTTGGTATTTGCGCCATTCTTTACAACCACAAGCTTATCAGGAAGGAGCTCTCTTGCACGGACGGTCATAGCCCGCCAGTAGGGTGACGATGTTGCTGTGTGGTAACAAATGGGGTCATTTGCAAGAGGAGTGCCGACCAATGGGTTCAGAACGGAAGGAAGGCTATGTGGAGCAAAGCCAGAGGCAGACAGATTCAGAATGTGGACATCAAAAAATTGGTGAACATCAGAGCAGTGTGAAGGGATTAAAATTAATGCAGAGAATAATGAAACTTTGGAGATCACGGGAGAAGAAGACACCCGATCAAGAGCTGTTCGTGCGTTTAAAACGGCATTGGGTCTAAGGCAGCCAAACGCAAGCATAAAAAAATATAAAGTCCACCACAAAGACGACAGTGTTTTTAGCTTCACATTAGATAATAAGATAAATCTATTAAAATAGATCGGTTTGTTTGATTGCATATTTAAAATTAATTGTACCAAGCTAACAGCTCACATTTACTTTATTTCAAACTAAGACATTTGCAATGTACAGTATGACGTAATTTGCATACAAATGAAGGACGCTGGCCGTCAATGAAAATTGAACGACTGTACGTTGTTTCCCAGAGGCTCCATGGTTGTCCACTTTTGTTTTCAAATGAGGCCTTGGGAGCCGTTTTAATTAATATTGGTTTTAGACCAGGTGACTTGAATACGATCATGCAATGATATCACTCAAGAGCAAACACAACTTAAAAGGTCAACCACAAGGGAAACCGAGCATCGCGAATAACCAGGGCACGTGTAGGGAGAGAGATAAAGGCTTTACAGAGGGGGACTTGAGAAAGCCAGAATAGGGAAACTTGGCATGCAGCAGTTAGCAACGTATGCAGAACGTGGATATGATTTCACAAAACATGAATATCACGTAAATTATTACTTTTATGAAACGCGTATGTACGGGATGCTGTAATACGTTGGTACGCGAGCACAGTGCAATAGATGCAATTCCAAGATTTTTGTGTTGTCAATTACCCACAGCTAAATTTATATACATTTCGGTCATTGTATTGATTTTGGCTTTCTCACGATTGCTAGGGGCACACACATCTGGTCCAAGTTCTTTTGGTGTCGCACAAACGTCCGTAGAAAATACATCCGAGATGTTTTTTCTTTCATTTCAGACAATATATTTATCTTCGTATTTATTTGATTTTCTAAAAAAAAAAGAAAAATCATAAAATGTGACCTTCTGTTTTTAATAAAACAGATGCTTTTTCCTTGTTGTTTATTTCTCATCAGCCTGAGTCGCAACCGAGCTCTAATGACACCGCGATCCCCCAGGATTTGCATCCTGCAGTGTGAGGAATGCTGATTTAATGTCCCATGCTTTAGCTACCCTGGCACATATGGAACTGGAAAAAAGCATATTATAAATGCATATGCAGTATACTATAAATCATAATGCACATTTCAAGCAATTACCTCTATTAAAATGTATATGGTATATAACAGCAGTTTGTCACTCGAACGAGCGTGGTGGAGTGCTCCTCTAAACATTCACGGTCAGGAGACTGTGGCGGGATTCCACGTTCCTATGGCGGGGAGTGTTTCGTGTATATATATTTTTTATAATGCATTGTCAGCAAAAAAAGGCGACTGTCATGTTTATGAATACATTTCAAGTCCCTTGCATGAATTCCTTTGTTGGGGCTAAATACCCACTGTGTTCAAGGAGCGAGATCTAAACTGCAAGCATGATGATGAATGTATTAGACAAGCTAGATTAGCGATGAATTACCCACTTGTGCAGGTAGGCTCATTAAGCTACAGGGGTAAATGGAATCAACACAGTTGGCTAAAATGTTGGTGACTATATTGCAAGTAATCGAACCGATCAAGCATCCATGGCAGGTTTCCGTAATATACGGTTGAAAACAAACGTTTTAACAAGAATACCTCGTGGAGATTCTTTCTAATTACATCATTGGTAAGCATTCCCACACATCGAGGAAGTCACTACGAAATCTAGTTCAGCCACGTTCCAGCCATGTTCCGGCCAGTCAGGGTCGTTTCTACAAACGCGTGGTTCTGAGCAACGCTACGGTCATCTAATAGAGCTGCACGACATAATGCCGAAAAAGAGCAGTTGCCGAGCAGATAGATACATGACGGACGTGGCCCGCCTATGCCCATCCTCGAGGGAAAGTGGTTCACCCTCTCTCTGGAAAGGAACCTAAATTGAACTTAACACTTGCAAGGTCTCCACATCAGCCTCCATCACAGGCAGCGTCAAGGCACACGAGATTTCGCATAGAAGCTGTTGTTGCTTCATGTGCCAGTGATGTGCCAAGAAAATAAACCAATGCACGTTCCCCATGTGTAGGCTATACCACAAAACATCAATACGTTTATGCAATCGTTTATCGTAAAACAGCACTCTTTGCGCGAAAATATATATTATACATACTGAAAATCAAATTGTTTTTAGATAATTTGAGAGAGCAAATAAACTGATCTCTCTCGGCACATGTTGCTGTTTTAACGGACCATACATGTAGATTTTTGTTCTTATTTAATGACAAAACATTGAAAAAGTTAATCATCTAAAAAGGTAATGTTTATTGTATTGCTTATTTTATGTAATCCAATTCAATTCAACAACGAAAGGCTATATTGTATTTCCATTTCATTCTCTTCAAACAAACCGACGCAAAACGTTTCTACCTTTTAAAAACTCTAAATTATAATTGGCACATTGTGATCGGTCAGTCCTACAATTAGAGGCTGCGGCATTCATCGATAGGATTTGATGAGGTCAACTTACAAATCAGCGTCCACTTGGTTTCAATACGTATGCAGTATTACATTTTATGATAGAGGGTTTTGTTTGGGTTAGATAACGTAAATAAATAAATAGATGTGCCGTTAAACCCGCCACCACCCGACACAGCCGATTAGTAAGGTTTGTCACGTAAACAAAATGTGCCAATTCGTATCTAATTCAGCACACGACTGTGTTGGAGAGTGGGTTTAACGACACATTATATTTACGAGATCTAAACGATAAAAACCTCGATTTTTGATAATGATGCATTTTGTTTAGATTTTCTTACCTGATTACGGTACCTAATACTCAAGGCCAAGGGACGCTAACACTGTGGTGTACTTGGTTAGCAGTGCACTGGAGTTGTAATCCAGAGATCGCTGATTCGATCTCCTGGCTCGACAGTTGAAACAACATAAGTTTATTTTTTTAAATAAATATATATTTTATTTTCTCATTCTAGAACCCAGAATGGAAAGCAGATTTTTCAAAAAACGCATCAGGTCACGTGTACCAAACTCGGAGCAATGCACCCTCAAAATTGAGTGGTCGATCGGAGGCGCCCGGGCTCGCTGCCCTACCACGGTAGGGGTAACGATCGGGAGCAGTGTATTTAAGTGGGAAGGGAAGAAGATGGAGGAAGGGGTGAGGGGAGGAATAATGTAACTGCAATGTAAGTTTCTTAAATTCCCCCTCCACCACCTGCCCCACCAACTCTGTCCACCCAGCGGTATAAGTGGGTTCACCACAGTCAATCGGCAGGTCACGTGTGGTAGAAGGCGTCTGGCCTGCATGGAAGGGTAGGCCGAATGCCCTGCAGAGGGGGGCTCTCTAGAGATCCCTCTCGTTAAGACCCCTTTGCCAGCCGTGGCGTGAGCGAGCAATGCAGGGCAGCACCTTCAACTTTGAGTACTCAAGCCAGAATTGTTTACATTCCTTCAGAGACAAATACATATCATAATGCATATTCATAAAATAGGTGTTAAAAAGGTAATAGTGTTTTTATATCAAATAGGCTATATATGCCTATGCAGCCGATTAATTTCATAGTCATTGCAGATTACGTAAGCGTGCGCATCAGGTGCAAGCCAAGGCACCCATTGTGAGCATTGTAGAAAAATGTAGATACCAACAGATCTGCCTGTGAATTAAACACAAACGCTGGCTGTCACGCAACATACACCATGCCACAAAGGTGAGGAGCAAAGCATTGCTCATGGGCGTTTGTCAACATTGCTGCCATTTAAGTGTGCGGAGTGCACATTCCGTCGGTGATTTATTTCACATCGAAACAATTGTGGTCTTGCAGTAAGCATAACCGGTAGGGCTGCTTGCTTTCATGTCTACGTTTATTTGACTTAAGTCCATAATTGTGATGTTTACACTTTCACACTTTTATTACTCTCTTCAGCATCACGCTTCTTTGCACACATGAAAGATGAGGGTAAACCCTGCTTACAATGTGGCTTCATAAGCACCTTTAAGAACCATAGCTTGGGAGGTTTTTTGGTGTGAATTTAGTTTCAAAGGCATATTACTGAAACATAGTAAGCCGATATTTTCACGATTATTCCGGGGAAGTTGATTCTGAAATTGCGACGGTGCAATAAGATATATAGCTCCATCGCTGATTTCATCTCCTCCTATTATGTTTCGTTCTATCCATCCAGTGAGACTTTTTTACATATTCACTAGCTTTAGAAAATCTCCTGCCAACCGTCAGACGATCGCCAGCAAGATTTGTGTCATCTGGCGGCCAACATTGGTTTCACGTGTTGCGACCGCTGTCTAGCTCAGGCAGGGAGCTCTCTATCCGCTCATTCACTTGGCTGAGCACAGTCCGCCTAGCAGCATATACACCGTACGGGTGATTTCACAGGGGCGCACTGGGGCAGCTGTGCGACCCGCTGTACAAATCTCCCTATCAAACAACCGTCTTGATAGCACCCCTGCAGCGAAGGTAATAGCGGGAACGCGTCCACAATCCAAACCGATTGTGCTTGTCCTGCGAGATGTACACCTGTACGGCCATACACCCACACCAAGAAGACCACATCCTCTGTATT